GATGCCATTGGCCTTCTTGGCCACAAGGGCACATTGCTGGCTCATGGTCATCCAGCTGTCCACCACAACCCCCAGGTCCCTTTCCCCTGTGCTGCTCCCCAACAGTTCAGTCCCCAACTTGTACTGGTACAAGGGGTTGTTCTTACCCAGATGCAAGACTCTACACTTGCCCTTGTTGTATTTCATTAGATGCCATTATGTTATGCTGTACCTGAGGAGTGTGCTTTCTAGTCTACACAGCAAAAATTATGCCTGGACATCACTCACACACGCTCACTCCTACGCAAAGAATGGTAACTTTTATGATGTTGAACAATACTGGTCCCAGTACTGACCCTGGAGGGACTCCACTGGACACAGGCCTCCAATTGGACTCTGTCCCATTGACTACTACTCTCTGGCTTCTATCCTTCAGCCAGTTCACAATCCACCTCACTACCTGATCATCCAGACCACACTTCCTCAGTTTAGCTGTGAGGATGCCGTGGGAGACTGTGTCAAATGCTTTACTGAAGTCAAGATAGACCACATCCACTGCTCGACCATCATCCACCCGCTGGGTGATGTCCTCACAAAAGGCTATCAGGTTTGTCAAGCACAACTTCCCCTTAGTGAAGCCATGTTGACTGCCCCTAATGACCCTCTTGTCCTTGATATGACTAGAGACAGTACCAAGGATAAGTTGTTCCCTTATCTTTCCAGGGATGGAGGTGAGGCTGACTGGTCTATAGTTTCCTGGGTCTTCCTTCTTGCCCTTTTTGAAGACTGGAGTGACATTTGACATTTGGAGAGTGGGGGAGAGAGGAACAGCTATGTTACAGAGCTGTTGCACACTGTTTGTGGTAGGCAGATGTCTTGTGTTTTAATTAATTCAACACAATATACTGGTAAGTAAGATCTGCAACAGATGTTTTTGGCAGACTTTATAAGCCTGACATTCACTCTGCAGCCTTCTCTGCTTGAAGAAGATGCTCACCTACCTAGTCACTCCTGTAGTCCAGAGTGCCCTTGGACTTCCTAACAAAGACAAGTCTTGTAAGGTGCTGTTTGCACTTCATGCTTTCTCTAGTCATTAAGGATGCTATGTCCTAGACTGGAAGCGATTGATCTTGTCTCTGGCTAGTATTCTCCTACCTATCTGAAAGTGTTTGGCTGAGGAACCCTACATCTCTCTAAGAAGAAAGTGTACCCAAAAAATCCAACAAAAATGTTTTCTGCCAAGTACCATGCCTTACAGTGACTTCTGAACCACATCTATAGATACTGAATAGTGAGGTTAATACACAGATGGCATTTCTTTGGGGAAGTCCAGCTGAGACCTAGCAGTTACTTTAGAGTCTGGCAGGTATGATTCAGAAAGAAAGGTCAATTGATTGTACAGAGAATAATGCAAAGTCCTGCATCTGGAATGGCACAGCTCCTGCAGTGGCACAGGTTGGGGCCATTTGGAGAGAATACAGCTTTGCTGAAGATTGCCTGAAAGTTCTGGTGGACAAAAAGTTGAACCTAAGTCACCAGCATGCCCTTGCAACAAAGATGACCAGCTACATACCAGGCTGTATTAGCAGGAGTGTAGACAGCAGGCCTAAAGAACTGATTATTTCTCTCTATTTGGCACTTGGGAGATCACACCTGGAGTATTGTGTCCTGTTTTCAGCTCTCTGCTATAACAAGGACATTGATACACTGGAGTGACTCTAGCAGAGGGCCATTAAGACAGATAGGGAGCTGAAGCACGTGACTTGCAGGAACAGAACTGAGTTTGTCCAGCCTTAAGAAGAGAGGCAAAGGCATGATCTGCAACAACCTAAAAGGAGGATGTAGAGCAGCTAGAGCCAAACTCTCCTCAAGGGTACAGTGGGTGAGGGTGAGTGCCAACAGACACAAGTTGGAATACGGGAAATTCCAATTAGATATCAGGATATTTTCTTCTATTAATACCACAGATCTTCCATTTACAGTCCTGAGACTCCACATGTGTGGAGAGTATCACTGTGGATTTAGAAGATTTATCGGAGTGAGCTAGAGTAGGTTATGAACCTTGTGCTCTTCTCCTGTTACACAAATCTATGTTAGTATTGCTTGCTATAAGGCTTGGTTTAATAATGGGGAACAGATCATACAGCCCTTTCTTCATTTCTGGTAACGTGCATTTGGCTTTAATAAATTTTTATTTTACAGGGAGAAGTTTTTATCATTTAACTTACATTTTATTTTCTATAACTGGCCAGAAGCACAAATAAAATATTTGTACAAATCAATCCAACAGTCTATATTTCAGTCTTTAACAGTCTATATCCAAGTCTCTCTTGGGAGCTACTAGGGCTTTATGTTGTTTCAAGGCTTCAGTTCTTAAATGTCTTTGTATTGTGGAATATCGTGGTATAAAGCGCTCTGACTTTTTCAGTATTTTCTCTCTATCTCAAGATGGTTTTGAGCCTCTATATTTCACAAAGGATCATCTTTAGTGTGCAAGAACGGTAGGAACCCCAGGAGAACTTCTGTTAGGAAACTTTGGGTATGCTGGATGGCTAAGAGTCTGCCTTTGGTGTGAAATTCACCTACAGCAGAGGAATGGCTCATGGCCTCCATACTGCTTATGGTCTCTGCAGGGCCCTTTTGCATGGGAGTGATGCTCAGTCTTTGCAGCTACGGCAGCTGCTTGCTCCATTTCTCTCTTCACCAGAAAACTAGAAGTTTTAGCGCAGACTTTGATCATCTCTCTCTCTCTCTTCCTTTCCAGGGCAACCACCTGTTTGAATCTTGCATACAAGGTATATTGTTTTTTCTTTTCCTCTCCGAAGATATGGTTTTTAAATGCTTTTAAACAAGCTCTGTCTTGAATCTGTGACTGTACCTTCCATAAGAACTATATAATGAGTCCTGTGCTTCAAAAGACCACAGGTGAGGCCACTGGATTTCTCTGCAGACATTTCTTTAGGAACATGCCTCTCTTAGCCTGTCACATTAGACTCAAATGACACAAAATCTGAAATACTAATACGCTGATTTTGCTGTAGATACAAAATAAGTACAAATTGTAACGATTAAAAAAACTAACAGTATCATATAGAAGGCAGATGAGATGAGGAAATCATTGTGATAGAAGCCATGTAAACACAGATTCACAAAGGCCCTATCCCTATAAGCTTACAAACTCAATTGCAGACAAGAAGGCGGAAGTCACTGAAATGTTTAGAAACATCACCAAAATGTTTCTATCCATGTGTCACACTTAAAACCAAATGGCAAAAGAAGTCAGATTATAGAATTTTGTGTTGCCTTTCAGAAAAGTTGATTCACCTAGATTAAAAAGTTTCCTCAAATCTCCTGCCAGAGACAAGAGATTCCTTTAGGAACAATAAATTCTTACATATATACACACATGTATATTATATATACACTGTTTTACTGTGATCTGTTCTAATTCTTGTATTCTTTTAGCTCCTGAACCTCCCTGCTGCTCTATTTCTGCCTCCACCAAGCAGTGATATTGCTGGATAGATGTTCCATATCTTCATATCCAGGTTTTTCCAGTAAGGGCTTAGCAGTGACATTCAAACAGATATCTAAACATAACCACATCCAAGAGGGAAGGAGATGCAGGATTCAAATTAATCTACTGTTACCCTACCAAACAGCATACAGTCTTCCACACTGGAAAGCACTTCTGGAAGGTTAATGAGTATGCAATGAGACTGAGGAGCTCAGTAAAGTCTTTTGGACCTCTTGCTTCATGTCAACGCCTGGGCATTTGCTAATCTTGCTATGTGCCCGGCCCTTCTCCATCAACTATTTTGTGATTGTTTCTTTATAGTTATGGATCTCTATGAGTTATACAGTCACTCAAATGAGGATAGCACAGAAGAAGTGCTGCTTGATGAAAAGAATACCGAGAGACTTAGTCTGAGTATCTGAAGTTTTCCAAGATCAAATAATGCTTCATAAATTTCTACTGTTCTTATTCTAATTGAAAGCCTTGAGCAAATTTTGGTGATGGAGATGAGAATAGAATCTTAACGGTGAAAATGTGGCTATTTCTCCAAACTTAGGACATTTTTTATCTGCAGATATAACAGTAGTCATAGAGTCATTGAATCATTGAGGTTGGAAGGGACCTGTGAGATTGTCTAGTCTAACTCCCCTGCTCAAAGGACAGTTTGCTAGAGCAGGCTGGCCGGGATCGTGTCCAGATGGAGTTTGTATATCAGCAAGGATGGAGGCTCCATAGCCTTTCTGGGTAACCTGTTCCAGTGTTTGATCACACTTACAGTAAAAAAAGTTTTTTGTTTGTTTATATTTAAACAGAATTTCTTGTATTTCTATTTGTGCCCATTGCCTCTTGTCCTGGCACTAAATACCACTGAGAAGAATCTGTTTCCATCTTCTTTACATCCTCCAGCAGGTATTTACACACATTGATAACACCCTCCTTGAGCCTCCTCTGACAGACGCTAAACAATCTCACTCTCTCAACCTCTCTTTGTATGACAGATGCTCCAGTTCTCTAATCATCTAAGTAAATGGCTCTTTTCTGGACTTAGTCCAGTATGCCTGTGTCTATCTTGTACCAGGAAGCACAGAATTCGATCCAGTTGTGGTCTCAGCAGTGCTGAGCAGAGGAGAAGGGTCACCTCTCCTGGGACATGGTATAGTAGGGTCGTTCTTTGGGCACATCTAGCATTTGGGATAGAACATGGCACAGCAAAACAGGAATCAGAGAAGAAATCTGCTGAAACTTTCTCTTTCATGAAATATTCTCCAGGCCTACTGTGTTTTTAAATAGAATTAAATGAGATTATAAAACTGAGACATAATATAATCATACAAAAGTAACAACAGACAAAGAATAATGATACTAGCAGCTTGGCAATACCAACTTACTACATCAAGAGACAAATTTCATTGTATCATTGTATTTCAAAAAAAACCACCCCAAAACCCTAAGCACAAGTTCATCCAAAAACCACAAAAAAAAAAAAAAGACACTGTGAAGTGACTTACCCATGTTCTTCTCTGTGGGGATAAACAGGTATCCGGTGTGTGACAGATGATGATGGTACATGTGGACTCCTCATGCAGGGCAGCTGTTGGGAATTTTCAGCAGGTGACCCAGCAGCTGTTGTCACAGTGTAGGTGAGTGACCATGTATAGGATTGCATAGCCCCTGCAGACAAGCAAGTGTTAAAGGAACACAGCTAACATGGGCTATCATCCCTAGAGGTGTTATTCTTTGAGACCGTTATAGGAAAGCAACCTAACAGGCAAGGATAATGGAAACAGCATCAACTGAAGTGAACAAAACAGTCGTATCTGAAGCGTAAATAAAAATACTAATAGATCAGCTGGAGTGTGCAAAGATCCAGAGGTAAGAGACATATCTGGAGTGGCTCAGACTATGAACTTCCAGTGTGGTATTGAAATAATTTTTCTGAAAAAAATGGGATATGACTTAGAAATGGAGGAACGCCAGTGCTAATGTTTCTCAGGCCTGATGCACCAAACCCTGAGGTCTCTCTCACATGGAGCATGCTGCTGGTCTGTTTAGATCTGAGGTTGATTGGGCCTGGACTGAGGCAGGAAGTATGATCAGAACAATGAAGGATTAGAAAAAAATGGGTGTTAAGCAAATAAATTTCTTGAATCCTTTTGCAGTTTGTATCTGTTCCACCCAACTAGGTACCAGCCTCTGTAGTGGCAACACAGTGGCAGATGTCCAAATTATAATCAACATATAGACAAAAATAGCCTAGCCATTTCCTTCCCGCAAATAATGTTTCATTCTTCTTCCGATGCGGCAAGGACTGGACTTAATTTATTTTTTCATGTAGAGCGTTTGTGGGAAGAGCAAAGCAAAGAAGTGGGTTTTCCATTTTGCTTGGAAGGTGCTGAGTTTTTTAATCATCCTGATCCCTTCCAGGCAGGAACTCCAGATTCATGAGCCAGCTGCTGAGAAACCTTTGTCCTTTGCACACACCCCTTTCACTCAGGAGGCTGACAGATCCATTGTTCCGGTATAACATAGCTCTTGCTGGAGGTCATGACCATACTGGCTGAGATTACCCTGCAAATGAGGACCAGAACACTGAATTTAACCCAATGCGAACACTAGTTTGGGGGTCTCTGGGCACTCTTGACTCTTTTTCACTAGCTAAAAGGAATTGCAGGAGGTGACTTATTTTTTTCAGTGTGGATTCTAGGACTTCCTGTAGTATGAAAGGGCCTAATTCAGAGGGGGAAATGATTGTATTACCAGGTCTGTGTCCATTCCATGGCTTTGGGGAATCAAAAGCCCATCTCATAAGTGCATGATTTTCTTCAGGTGCATGTGATTTCATTTCGCAAAGTCAGCCAATTTTTTTTTTTTTTTTTAAATAGGCAATGCTTAATTCTGGGACTGAACGAAGGCATTCTGAGCTTCACAAGGTAAGTCCGGCTTGAGATACTCTAGTATGGTGTGATTTGTTGCTCTTATAGTAGAGACATCTTTGGATGTGTTATGGCCAAGGATATTTCTGCTAGGTCTGTTTTTACATGCCTGCATTTTCTGTCAATGACTCTTGAATTTTCAGTCTTTCATCTCCTCCCATTACGGAGGACCATTGAGATCCTCGAGACCAACGAGAAGCTAGCACATCAGTGTTGCAGTGGATATAAGCAGTCATGGGTCCTTGAGCGGAGGAAAATGTTTAAGTCTGTCTTCACTAGAAAACACAGTTTATGTGGAAGGGGCCAAAACTACTTATGCAGTCACCAAATACCTTCATTTGAAAACAAGAGAAAAACTGTTATGAAAATATCAACAACTTGTCTGCAGAATATTTTGGTGAAACATTTCAATTTCAAAAGGTCAACATATTTTCCTAGTATTATTTTCAAAAAAAAATTTGAAACTTTGTTTCAAAACAGGCTTAAAGTCAAAAGACAAAAACAAAGAGGAAATAAAGAAAAAAAAAAAGGACAGCAAAGATGGTGAAACAAAAAAATACTTATTTTTACGTAACATTACTGTTTTTTTCACTTTTTCACTTTTTAAACTCACCATAGAACAAAAGTTTACTTTGACCTGATCTTATTTTTTTCAAGAAAAAATTGGCCATTGAGTCAAAAATCTCATGACCTTCCTAGCTCTAACAAGAAGGGAAATAACAGGGCCAAAATATCCTCTGCATTTTACCAAATACGATTGATTTGGCTGGCCCTACCCATTATAACAGTCTACTTTTCTTTTTTTGAAAAATAGTAGGGATCTTATCTGAGTCTGAGGAAAATGAGCCAGTCCAGGATGGCAAGCTGTTTCATGTGCTCCCTGTGGGATGTCAGATTCCTTGGACAAGAGGACTTGGCCACTCCTATCATTCAAGTCTAACAGCCAGCCATCTCAGTTCAATTTAAAAATAAATGTTTGGAGTGTAACATGTTTTGAGCCTGTCCCGATGACTCAGAAACAAATACAGAGAATAGATGTTGCACTGGAAGAGTTGTGAATATCTTTGATTTGATCTCCTAACCAAGAATTGTTCGAGGTACTACAGGATAGTACCTCACACAGCTGCTCTAGGAAATACTTTCTTTTGAAGGTTATGGTTTAGAAACAGATGCGTATTGGGTTTTACTCTGGATTTACAAAGTGACAGAAAGCATTTCAAATATTTTTTTCAAGATGTTCTTGGGAACAGTCTCCTCACTTCTCTTTGCCTTTGTGGAAGGGATGGTATTATTTTCAGTGACCTAGGCACATAGACAGAGAGGAACGATAGAAGATGACAACAGATTTGCAGACTGTGTGTATGTATAGATCAGGTCATCTGGGACACTGATGACATTGTTGGTGGAAAAGGAGGAATGAGATAAGTCTGAAAGTTTTTCATAGTTAGCTTTTTGGTACCTGCCTACATCCCACCTACATCCCAGTCCTATATTTTCTCAGCTGTCTGCAGAATTGAACTGCAGGACATGAAGTCTCTTTTAGATATGACTGAGCCCAACTGAACTGTTTTTTGAAATAAGCAAAAACAATAGTGATTGAGCAACATTTTGCTCTGCTTTGTGTTCTGAACATGTGGGGTTTGATTAAAATAGGGAAGTTCGTTTATTATCACTCCTTTTTCTTTTCTCTGTTAATCAAAAATTTGATTTTGAGGATACTAACCAAGAGACCATCTGACCTGCAGGAGAGCCAAATACAAATGGAACTGCTATCAGTGCAACAACAGCCCTGTTGTTATTGGTGCCATCATATACACCAGTGCAGAAAGAAACAAAAATTGCTTCATGATGCTGCATTTTATAGTATTTGCTTTATGCTGGAGTAAATGACCACCTAGAGGTACAAGCAAGACACTCACAGCACTGTGTATTATGTCTGATAGTAAGCAGTACTGTCTACCCCAAGCAATCAGAAATCTGGAGTCAGATCCCCCATTCTGCCCACTGACAACGAAGAGATTACCTTTACTATCAGCTTTAGAAAAAACACAAACCCTTCCATTCAGAAGGGCAGAACTGCCTTTTGAAATCGGAACCTTTGACTTTTACATTCTGCAGCTATGAGAATTAAGCTCTGATTGTTGAGCAAGAGCTGATGTTCTTATATATTCCTATGGGTCCAGGAGCTGAAGCTTTAGGGAAAAAAAAAAAAAGTGTTCTACTCACACACACAAACATGAGAGGTGGTAGTTCTGTGCAAGTATCTCCTGCGCCAGATTCCCAGAACTTTAATGCCCTGCCTAGACTTGGAAGAACAGTGACCTTAAATGACCATTGCTGACCTGAAGATTTATTTCACGTATACTTTTCTTGAAACTAAACAGTAAACTGCATAGATTAGTTCACTAACATATTAGGAGCTACCTACAATTCAGGGTTCATTTTGGGTTGTCTAAAACCCATTGCATTGGCAAATGAGTAATCACAGCTTTAAGAGAGGCTTTAGGAGAGAATAGCGGAGTCAGCCATATAGCTATCACTTTTATTACAATATTGTTGTAGTTTGAACAATCATTAATCCGGCCTTTGTGATTTAGAAAGGACAGAGACTAAGTATCCTTTTAAATGTCTAGTAACTTAACAAAAAGTTTTAAATAAAATGTTAGCTGACCCATGCCAGATGTTCTACCTCAGAATGTAATATATAGGATTTACCCTTGTTTTGCTCGGTATCACATGATCACAACAGTTTAATTTGCTGGTTTTTTACACTGACTGAAGGCAAAGAGGTGAAAATGCAAGTTTAATAGTTAACTTTTATTGCTAATGCCACAAGCAAAAAAGACTTAATGATCCCTTAAATTGGGGAACTGAGAGCTAGTGGTAACCAATGGAACTAGTTCTCAAGATTTGCAAAGCATTTGCAGAGTTTTACATTTACCTCATAAAAGACACATAAGAAAATCAATAGTGTACTTTAAACATATCTCTCTAGAATAGAGATTTCTATTCTAAAACATTCTATATATTAATGCCACAAATCTGTATATGGAATAGTTTGATTATATGTAGTACATCTTCAGTGCTCCTATTTCAAAGTATAGCAATTTCCTAGAGCTGAAACATGGTTGTTATTTTGTATTACTTTATGTAAATGAAGCCTGCATTCCATCGTGTAATGGTTAGCAAACTAAAAAGGTGGTAAGTTCATCTACATGAGGTATTACTAATTGCCCAAATTAAGACAAGGAAACATACACCTACTTATATTTAATCTTAACCAGATCACTACTTGTGTTGACAAATGTGGCTTGTGCTCAGCAAAAATTATTTTCACAATCACAAAAGTGAGACTGCACTAAACAGAATAAAATCCAATTCAACCAAACAAAAGGTTTTAAAACAACCTAAAAATGCAAGCTGGAAAAAAGAGACAGCTAAAATAATTAGAAATAGCTTTCTTGCCTAAGATGTTCTGCTAGGGGAACAACTAAGTCAAGTTCTACTGCCCATACTGTGGGAGTAGGTCCTTCAACCATTCTTCCCAAATGATCCTGTTCCTGGCTTGAGACTTCACACTAGCAGACTTTGGCCTTACCAGGACATAAAAAATTAGAGGGAGAGAATAAAACAGACTATAATGAAATAATAAACAACATGAAAACAAAAAGGAGTTGCATTTGTAGTATTTGTGTGAGTCCATTCCCTTGCATTACTGGTGGGATTCAGGAGGGATATGTAAGATCCACGCAGTTCCCAGGCCTGCCCAGATCTGTACCTAAGTCAAGTACCTAAATCAAGTAAGCTGAAGATGGAAGTTCAGATAGCTGACAAATAGGCTATTATATAAATATGGAATAAGCTTTGGGCTAATAGTTATGATAGTCACATAGAGTTCCAGTCTCTGCAGCCTAAATGCAAGTCCCTCAAATCTCCATTCCTGTCAATGCCACTGGAGAGCACATAGTGTCCTACTTTCCAGTCTTTTACTTCTAGGTACAGTTTTGCATTATACTTAGTTCTGGTTATAACATCACAGCAATCCCATTGGGACACAATGTCTACAGATCAAGTCACCCACAAAATCAATATTTCAATAAGACTCAAACATATACGCCACCTCAACCGTTGCCTGATCTAAAGCAGTGTGCTCACCTGCCATGTCTAGCAATCATGTGTCTCTTGTCTAACTATTCTGAGGGTAATATCATCCTATTTCCCTCCTAAATACGGTATTGTCTCCAACAAGGAGAAAATCTGAAGTTTCAGTGTAGGGACAAATGTTCTTAAATCTCTTTCCGCCACAACTATGCATTGTGCTTCCCTGTGGCGTCTTTGAAAACATGAAAAACATTTGTCAGAAAGATTTATTAGTCCTTTAGCTACTGCCAAATTCAGCATTGTGGTAAATCATCACTTTCTGACATTCTTTCAAGAAGGTTTTGGAACTTCTCTAGTACATCACAAAAGTGATAGTTTCCATATTCTGATTATACACCCTTTTCACTGAGGAGCAGCAAAGCTGGAATTTCACTGCCTGAACACCTTCTGAAAGTCATTCATATTTCTGCCTTTTTCTCTATGAGTCAAGAAAACACCATCTTTTGATCATACAGACAGACTGGCCCTGCCCATATCCAAAAGGTAATAAGTGAGTTTTACATTAGAGTACAGAGGATGGTTGCCCATTTATACAGACCAAACAAGGAGCCAGTTTTGTGCTTATTGTTTTCTGTCAATCCTGCCCACAAGTTGAATACTTTTAAGCACAGATTTTTTAATCTCTGGGTCCACCAGAATACAACCACCTCACAAGTTGCCATAACTGAGTATGCAACTGAAAACAGGCTTCAGAACTGTGATTCCTAGTCTCTAATACTGAAAGATGAAAGTTATCAACGATGTGTGAAACATTTCCAAGAGAAACTTGCACAGCTATTTAAACATATTTAGGTCTCAAATATGTGGAAAGATACCCAATTCCTATTTTACTCACTAGGAATTCCTGAACCACTGCTGGTTCAGGATTTTGAAAACCTCACTAAACCTTAAAATATCTGGCACATTTCCTTGAAGTATATAAAACGTCCAAACGTCAGATCTTTTTCCTGTTAGACTGCACATCATGTTTGGACACAGTGAGAAGGCATAACTGATACTTTAAACAGATTTCTGTTTGCGAAGGCTTCTCATCTCTCAAAAGCCAGCACATCATGTTCTTAGGCTCAATTTCAGGTGACCAAGTGCAAAAGCCATTTTCAAGCAGATCTAGCTGCCATAAGCCTACCTACCTGTTGTAGCTGTTATGCCGCCGTACTCTGGGGACTGATTGCTGACAGGCGAAGGGGCAGAGGGCACTTCCACTGAGGTGGCAGATTTAGCTGGGGAGAACGGCACAGGGGAGGGAGTTGGAGGAGCTGGTTCACTCAGAATAATTTCTTCTCGTATTTCTGCTGCAGGATGAGAGAAAAGTCATCAAACATAGCTATAGTTCTGTAGGCTGTATTTCAAGCAATGCATAGCAGGAATCACAAATCTTTGAAAGAAGTACTTCTATAACACACAGCATTACAACCTTCAGTGTACCTTCATAAGACCTCTTAAAGGAAAGTGCTATTTCTCCTATTGTATGATTAGGAATCTTGTGCATAGACAGCTTGAGGCTTATATTCCTGTAATATACTATTAGATACCTAAAATTAGGAGTCCTGTCTGAGTCAGGCTCTCCTACTTCTTCTAGAGACTCTGGAAAGAAACAGGAACCTCCAGGGCATTCCAGTGACTTTTGGTCACAACCTTCTTTCTTCATTGACTAAAGAGGATGACATTCTGGATAGTTCTAGCTTCTAAAGGTATATGGAAAGTACTCAAGGACAAGCAATTTCTTTGTCAAAAAAACAAGAGGCTATGGCAGGGCGATGAATTAAATCCAGGTCTTTCAACACACAGAAGACATTACCCTAATCACGCCCATAAATCTACAGAGTGACAAATTAAGCCACAGCTAAAATGAGAAACGGAACTTTCCAAAGGTGACAGAGGGTTTAACTTCCCAAAATTAATGGGAGATGCAAGGAAGGAAGATCACTGAGGACCCCTCATTACAAAGGGCTGCCCTGAGCAGAGAGACTAAAGGCAATCTCTGCTTGCTTCTGTTCTGGCAAGGCAGTGTAGTGTGGAGCAGGACGTACAGGCACTCAGAATATAACTGTGTCAGGAACAGTAGCATTGGATTTTGTCTTTGCTCACTTCTCCTATCTCTCCCTCTTATTTAGACTGGTACAAATCCACTGATACCAGTGAATTTACTTAGGGTTAAACCAGGGTGAGAGAGAGAGAATAAAGAATCAAGACCGGATTCACTGAAACGCAATGGTGGCTTAGACAGATTAACTAAGGTAAAAGGTTTGGTACAAAAATCTTTTACTGAAACATCAAATGCATGCTTAGGAATGGGGTTTCAGACATCCAGAGTTACTTCATGAAGCAAGCACGCCACTTTCAGAATGCATTAACCAGGGATGACCCCTTCACAAGCGATTTATTTCAAATCGTGATGGAACTGAAAAACACTGCTCCTAGATAAGACTCACTAGGTTAGATGAGGATAAAGAAATGTCCTAACATAGAAAATAATGAATCCAGTGGAATAAAACAACAAAAGATGAATAAAAGAACAAACTCACCTGTGCTTCCCTCTCCTTTCATTGCCCTCATTAGCTCATTAGCTCTCTCCTGACAATGGAGTGATTCTAGCAGGTACAATACGTAGTCATCGAACATCAAGTGAATAAGGTGAAAAGACCCTGGTAATAAAGTGAACAAACAAAAAAGCCATTGACTGTCTCAATACACTCATTAAACCAATGATCACGGTATTCAACACAAACAGTACTGAGTAGGATTGCCTCCATGCACTACTGCCACTGAAGCATCTCTCTTACTCAAGGTAAGAGAGGTCAAAGTAAAACTGGGGACTAGCAGCTAGCAAACTCTCTTCACTCCTGGATTTATACAGGCTTACACAACCAATTATTGCAGTTTAAGGTGCAAGGAGGCTGCCTAGCTGAGAGCTGGGACTTGATGGATTTTTCTTCTCCTACACTAGCATTGAACAATTTACACAATTACACTACAGTGGAGCTGCCTTAGCGACATGTCCTGGTACGAATTTTCTAAACTACCTGTGTCATTAGACAAAGAAATGAGAGACTAATCAGTAGGAAGGTACAAACAACCTTCCAAATCTCCTGATAGTATACCTCCAGTGCATTGCCTGGACTGGATGAGACATCCATTAACTGCCAAACATAGAGGGATTAGCAGCCATTGTGGATGTCTTAAAGGGAAGGACGTATGCCAAAGCTTTGCTTTATCATACTTCTCCTACTACACTATCTTTTCCTAATTATCAGTTTGAATCATTTGGCCTGTTTCTGTGTTTATCTCTGAAAATGCCCTTGATACCATCTCTTAACTGCCATGACAGGAATGTGAAAAACTTAAGGACTAAAGGACTTAAGGGAAGAACATGGACAAAAGAAAATGTGGGGGATGGAGTTAAAAAACACTTTGACAATAAATAGTAAAAGCCATTTATATGGATAGCTATCTGCCACAAATCCTCAAGTAAGACTTGAGTACAGATAGAGAACTTGCTAATGTTGTTAGGAGGAAGGACGGGGTAACGCTATGGACTAGAGTAATTGAAATGAAGTTTGATAGCATGCTGTAAGAAGTTCTGCCTTTTTATATCATGGTCTGATTTATATACTTCCTCTGTAGAAACAGAAATATTAATACTATTGCACAAGGCACTGGTGAAACTTCACTTAGAATATTGCATATAACTCTAGTCACCCATGTTCAAGAAAAATTAGTACAAGTTGAAACTGGTATGGAGAAGATTACCAAGAGGATGCGGGAATGGACAATAGACTTTAAATGACTAAAAATGCACGGCTGGCTTCATTTTGCAGAAAGGACATGAGTTGCTTCCCATAATTTATAAAGAAGGATACACGTCAGGGACAGTGAAGAAATGTTTGCCCTAGAGCACACATAGCCACAAAAATAGATATGTAAGAAGACACCACAGATGCATTTCAGGGGAAAATTAGAGGAGCAAAGCATCAGAGCTGAGACATTGTGTAGTGTCTTCCTGAAATGAATAACATTCATCTGCAGGGGAAGACTGACAGTATCAAGATGGAGTTTGGTCAGTTTATGCAATAGACTCCATGACACAGAGTTCCTATAATAGCTCCAGACAGGATTTGATCATATAATGATTTTTTTTTAAAAGATCCTATGTTTATTTGGACTTGCATGGAATATTTAAAACAAGTTCATATAAGTCACTAAAATAACTCTGGCAAGTGTGAATGCAGTCAGGTTAAAATAATAGCCAGTCCAGCAGCTGGCTTAAACTAGAGAAAGATCACCAGCTGAGAGGAAAACAGAAATCAGCTACTGCCAGACAAAAAAAAAAAAGTCTCATCCGGATGTGTTCCTTTTGAAATTCCATTACTACATTTTGAGGAAAAATACTTCCATGGGAAAAAGATGCAACAAGTTTCAAATTCAGTCAAATTTCATAATGATTGGTTTCTTCAAAGGAAAGTTAGGTTTATCTTGGGACACTAGCTTTTATCACGATGAAGCCTAAGTACCCCTACTCCAACTTCTGTACTCAAACATACTGAAGGGCAGAAGAAGTGGTTTGAAAGACCCTATATCCTTACACAATTCTAGCTGGCAATTCAGCTCTCAAAGCGACTCTGAGCACATTCTTTTTCTTTGTGACCCGGATGGTCTTTGTGTTTCATCCTCTCACTCCACGCCTGCATGGCTCCTGTCGTCACTGATACGAGCTGAGCACACACACTGGGATGTGAACACGCGCCTTTGTGTTCTTGGGCACGGCAGCACAGAAAAAAGGACATATGTGATGGCAACACCTTTGCTACGGGGAGGAAATCCTTGACTGTTGGTGAACCTGAAGCATTCAGTTTTTCATCTGCTTCACATATCTATGCAAATCAAAATGGTAACAAGTTTCCCCAGCTTTTCGAGGGGAAATAGTGGAGATCTTCACTTAACTACCGCAGAGAATTCGATTTTAGAAATCGTTTGAGCTCAAAGTCTTGTTAAATAAAATCCTATTCCATTTAGCAGCACAATAAAGACAGCAGACCTGGCTGATTATCTTGTTGCCTAGGATTTTCCTGGTGGAAACTAGATTATCAAGAATCTCTACAAAATACTTGCTCTTCTTCCGACTACAGTTTTTCAGTGGGAAGTTTCTATTTACTTTAGTGCAGTTACTACTGATAAATATTTCCGAAGTAAGGAAAACAGGCCTAAATGCTGGCAAACTTCATGTGGTGGTGTAAAGTCCAGGGTATTTAGTGTCTCCCATTAATCTCCCTGCTCAGCTTAATTAAAAAAAAAAAATAAAAATTAAGGACGGTCACTTGTAAATTCATAAAAATATTTGGAAGTGCAAAGCTTAAACATCGAAATGCTAGCAGGCAAATGACAAGAACTCAAGATTTGCTATTTTTAAAAAATGTCTTTGGGTTTTTTGGGTCTAATGCTTTATTTTGAAGACTGGTGGTTGGTAATACTGAATGCAGCATTTAAAAACACTCCAGTGCCCTTGTCACTCTTTTGAATTTCTCTCTTCCTCTCCTATTATTTCACCCACTGTGTACTTTTAAACTCCTTAGAGAGTTTTTGAGCCCAGAATTTCCGTGAAAGACACGAGACAAACAAGTTGTTGGTACTGAATGAATGCAATATTTTTATATTTTTAAATTAGTTGGATATAATGTAAGCTATAGAGTGAAATCAATATCAGGGCGCACATTTCAGCTACACAGGGAATAGCTATTCAGCATGATGTACAATAATTTATTTTGTGTTTGCAAGCTACTGTTTTTCACATGAAACTGCCTGGTTCTTTCAAGTATATCTTTAAGTATTGAAACAGACCCATCTGTGGTCGGCAAACCATACACTTCTTTAGGAGAAGGTAAGAAGTCATTCAAGAGATTGTAGTTACAATAAAAATAGCATTTGGCTCTAGTTATCAAGAGTGAGCAGAAACCATGGCAATGCTCACCCAGCGCTAATGTACAGTGAGTATCAGCTGCTATTAACAGATACAGCAATTATGTGTAAATAGCAAAAATAACAGCAAGATTTCCAGATCCAGCAAAAATCATGGAGCTTCTATTACTAATTAGTTACTTTATACACTGGATGCATTACCCAAACACTGCCACCAACTGTGTCTTTGATATGCATAGACAGGAAGGAGGGAGGGAGGCAGGCAGGCAGAGAGAATGAGGGAGAGGGAGAGGGGGGCCAGGGGGAAGAGAGAGAGAGAAGCTTTTTTTCTGCCAGGGATTGTTTCAACCTGCCCATCCCACCGTGCTTAAGAGCTTTGCAGAACCATATCTCTGTGCCAGCCAGTCCAGTGTCAGGTGTTCCAACTTCCTCCAATCAGATTTCTGTATCTTATATTTCAAAGCCAAAAATATACTGTCCTGAATATCGGAAAGAGCCCATCATTTAACACATTATTTTACTTAAAAAAAAAAAATAAAAATTACACTGTAAGCATCTGAGTCTATACATTGCTTGAAGTGGAAAAAAAGAATTAAGAATCATTCCACTGAAACAGTTTTCAATGCAGTAAAAAAGCAAAACACTACATCTAAACTAAGAATGAAGATGTACAGATGTAAATATTTAGAATAAATCAGTCTTTGTTTCTCTCCATAGAATTCACTTAAACGCATACATTATTCTGAAAAGCTAGAAGGAATTGTGTTAAAATAAGCACAGAAGAGTTTCTGCCATCTAGCTCTGAGCTGTGTACATTCAGGGGTTATTCTTCTGGAACCTGCTCAACTCTAATTCATGAAAAATGTGTCAAATGGCCTTGCAGTGAAAAAGTAGCATCTTTAATACAAATCATTATAAATTTGTGTCTGTGGCTAAATAGTATTTGGGACATTTTGAGGGAAATGAGGTAGGGATAGCCTAGGCTTCTGCCTGATAGGATGAGGATGTGGTTTTGGTAACATTCTCCCCTTTGAAAACCTGAAGGCTCAGATCTCCTGCCTCCACTGGCATTGCACCTGAGCAGGGAAAACTCCACCTCGTATAAATAAGGGTTAGAATAGGGACTGAGCCAACGCTTGTCACATCAACTCCCAGGAGAGAACCCACCTAGCAGGCTGCAGACCTCTGCAGCTCAACAAATGGTTATGTGGTTTGTACAAAGTGAAATAATAGTTGCAACAAAATACATGAGAAAACCCTCCCACAGGACAAATCCTCTAGACTTTTGGTTAGAGATCTTGTTCTGGCAGTCATTACCTCTACTTCAAGACTGCTGAGGCAGGCAACTGTGGTCTAGGCACCAAAATGTAGCAGATGCAAAAGAATTCTCTTTGATTTTACGTTTTTTAAAACTAAAGATTTTTCATCAAATTTCATGAAAATCCCAAACTATCTCAGCTTCATACTGAGCACGATGTTTGTTTGTTTGTTTTTGTTTAATTCTTGCATTGGCTTTCAAACTGAGAAGCAGTTATTGATCCAGTTGTAATTATAACACTACATATCCACAAAAAAATATATTAGCTATGACCAGTACATTCTTTCCCTGACTGTGGTTTCATACAAACATATAAAATTCATGTTCAAAGGTGTATGCCCATATAAGAAGAAGAATCATGCGTTTGTACACACAGATACACTCAGTGAACTAAAACGACAAAAAAACACCCCAAACCCTACAAATTTAGCTGAACAGTTACAGTTCTCAAAATTGAGAAATCCAGGGGCCAAATTTATAACAGAGACCACAGGTAAGTTATTTTGGTAGATTTGATACATTATGTTGCAGTGGGTCTGAAACTCAAACCAACAAATAATTCTCAACCTTCTCATTTACTCACTACATGGCAAGTTCATAAATGTTTTCATTAAAAAGTAAGAAATCACAGCTGAGGAGCTCCGTACAGACCATCCAGACAACTGGTGGTCTAACAACTATTTGGGGAATCTCAGTATGATTAAAGATATTTTGCTGATTGATGTTCTGAAGCAGAAAATGTTGATTAGGTTACAAACGTATCCTGAATAGGAATAAAAATAATATTGTAATGTGCAATTCAGTAGCAATAATGTATCCTTAGGGACAGTTTAATGTCAGCATTTCATGACTTGTAACAGTGTAAGCTCAACATTGCACTAGTGCAGGATGTTTTTTCATTTGTTGGGTATCAGTGTGTTTCCCAGGTCAGGATTACATCTGCAGAGAGAAACGTAGCCACCCAAAGTGCTAGAAAACGGAATTCAGCATTTATTCAACACTTATGCAAAGGGATTTTTGAACACTGGGGGAAAGTGTACTATTAATCAGTATCAGCTACTTTTATGCCCACAACAAAAGAAAAGCTGCAATGACTCAAGAAGAAAATGAGTCCTAGAGGAGGCAGAAAATAGATGGGACCAGGATATTAGTACTGAAAACACAAGCTAGCAGATGGAAATTGTGATCATCTTGGGGATGCTCACTATCTTGATGTCTAATGGTGACTCACTAATACCTGTTTGGAAAACTCTTTACAATGTGAAGCCAATGAAAGTAGTTTCAGAATAAAATATAAATACAGATCATATCATGCCTATCTCTGATGGTATCTGAATTTATGCTACTAGATGATTCTAAAAGCATGAAGGGCATCAAAGCTCAGCTGGCAGAAAACCTTGCAGTTTTTCACTGCAGTGCCTTCATAAATTCATCCATTATTAATCTTTACAAGCATATTCCGACAAACGTGTTTATAAAAACCATCCCTCCTGCAAAATCTGGTCCCGAGTGACTGCGAATGTTCACA